GGGGGGAAGGGGAAGGGAGCAGGATGGGGGAGAACAAGGGAATCCGTGGCTGATATGTAGAACTGAATGGTATTGTAAAATAAAATAAAAGGGGGAAAAAAAAAGAATCAGTGATGGAACCTATGAGGGATGGAGACAGGGTGCTGGGTGGGAGGCAGCTAGCGTGTGAGTAACATGGGACTGGGGAAGGTCTCCTAAGAGTTGAGTTTAATCCTGAAGGAAGAGGTGCCACCAGTCCCTGGAGAGCAAGGGAAGGGTGTTTCCAGCCAAAGGAAGGGACGCGACAAGACAGAGACCCGGAGATGCAGAGGTTATTGTAGAAAAGGCTTTGGCAAGAATCCTCCTTCCAGAGATGGTGACGTAAAACCACACGCAAGCCGGAACTGGGGGAGAGGGCTCCGCTCGTGCTGGCAGCATGAGGACCAGCATTCCGATCCCCGGAACCCCTATAAATGCTGGGTACGCATGGCAGCCTGCCTGTAATTGCAGCTTCAGACAGAGACGATGATGAGAGATCCCCAGAGCAGGCTAGTTAAGGAGATTAGTAATATTGGGTGGGCTCTGGGTTTGATTAAGAGGCCTCAATGAATAAGGTGGGCAAGCGATTGAGGATGATTCCCAACATCAATTTGGGTATCCTTATGCACATACACCCATATGTGCCCACACACATGAAAAATGTGCATGCACACCACATACACATTAAAAGAAGAAAGGGGGAAAATTTCTCTCGCATATATGTATGTAGATTACCCTAGGGCCTCTATGCTTGAGGCACAGACAGATTAAATCATACAGAGAACAGTTGGTCACTACTTGAAGTAACAGAAGGAATTAAAGACAAGACATTGATGGGACAAGACCTTACTCAGCTGGGGCAATGCCATTCTGAGGTTAAGACAGGTTTTTAAAACTTACCTAGGTGGAGAAAGGCCTGATTGCCAAAGAGACGGGTTCATCCTGGTCCTTGTCTATTGCACCAAAAAGGATGTCACTGAGACACAAGAAGACAGATGACTACAATGGACTGAGAAGCAGGTACCACAGCCACCTGCAGACCTGTGGCCAAGGATTCTGCCGCCATACAGGACAGGGAGGGGGAGACATTCTCAGATTGGATTTCATACACCTTCCAGTTCTTATATCCCAAGAAGCCCATCAGATGTCTACTGAAACTCAGCTCCTTTGAAATTCAAGGTCATCCTTGGTGACCTGAGTGTGGATAACTTGTTAGAGTGCTATGGTGAGTCTATACTTCAGTAGGGATTATTATGTTTTTATGGCCCCTCCCCACAAAAAATGTACTATCACTTCTAGAGCTTCTGGAAGCTTCTAGAACATCCTTAGAGTTGCTCCTGACTATGGTCATGAGTAGAGCTTTATCAAAGCTTGAAGAAATGTCATCCCTGCCAGGCCAATGGGACAGACACACAGGAGGCAGTTTAATGGGTTCTGGGACCCTGTCCAGCTTCAACCAGTCTGTTCCCAACAAAGCTCTTTTAGTCCATTTACATTTCAAACATTGCCAATCCCCAGGCCACCTGGGGACTCTCAGGGCAGTGCCAACAACAAGAGGCTAGTTCCTGGGCCTCTGGAGCCTCGGTATCCAGCACACACTCCCGACACACTTCAGTGAAACCATCTTCCCTGAGTGCGGCACTTGGACCTGGTATGAACACAGATGGAGTCAATAAAAGACAAGGGGTCCCAGGAAGCCACTTGGCTACACCACAAATGCAAAGAGATTCTATACAGTAGACCCTGAACAGCTTCCCAGGAGCCCTTACGAAAAGAGGGTAAGCAATGCTCAACAAAACTGTGTTTTCTTTCTTTAAGCCACAGTGTTGTATGCCTGGAAATCAGATTATAGAAGTGCTTCATGTTGCTCTGCACAGGACACCCAGGGAAGGACAGCCTGCTGACCTGTTTTCTGCATAGCCAAATTCTCACCTCGGCCATAGGGACAATGCCAACAAAGACTGTCTGGTAGATCACAGAGGAGAAAACCTTGTGTGTGTGTGGGGGGGGGGGCACGTGCGTGATTCTCAGGAGGGGTGTTTCATTTGTGTGATTTTCTAAATCCTGATAAAGCCACTTCTATAGTAAGACTTAATTGAAGGAACCATTTTCTCTAGAAAACTAACATTAGCGTTAAAAACCCAGAAATCAGTATGTTGCCCTGTTCTTCCCCGGTCAAGTGGGAGGAAAAACACAGCTTGATCCCGTCATTGGTGACACCCTGCACACCTATCTGCCTTCCACACATACACACACCCAAACCGCTCTCTACAGACACAGGCAGGCAAAGTCCAGAACCACTGGCTGCCTGCTCATTCTGATCTACAGTTGCTCCTATCTCCCATTCAGCACACACCAACGCCATGTGCCTCCTCCACTCACAACCGTCTGCTGTAGGCATCTGTTGAGTGGTCTTAATGGTAGCTGGCAGAGTGATGCTCTGTGAGAAAGACTGGACCTTGGACTGGCTTCTGCGAACGCGAGTCTCAGGTAGATTCCAGACACAGAGTTGTTAAGCTCTGTCCTGTTGGTTTGGAGTATAGAGTTGCAAAGTGTGATAGGCTGCCCCACCCAGCTCCCTTCCCTCTGGAATTTAGAACTGTGGAATATTCCAGACAAAGGTGCTTAGGTGACTAGGTGACCGACTCCTCAGTGAAAAGAATGGATGGCTGGGAAGAGGAGAGAGAGAGGAGAAAGAAAGGAGGAACTGTAAGCATTGCAGCTCATACGGAAAGATATCCTGGCAGTCTAGAATCAAGAAATACCACAGTCTCCGTAAGTGACAACCCTGCTCCAGGAAAAGGTTTCCCCAATGCAAGTGTAACAACTTCGCTCCACAGAGGAGGGTTTCCTCAGCGAAGTTGTCACAGCTCTGCTTCAGAGAAGTGTTACAACTCTGCTCCTCTAGGAGAAAGCTTCCCCAGAGAAAGTGTTACAGTTCTTCTTGCTCTGATCTGCTCAGGTGAAACTTGTTGCAGCCGGGCTCCAGAGACAATGTCACACTGCATGAAAATCTCACCCAAAGTGACTTATTGGGAAAGAACTGTCAGGGAGGGTGGCTGCCTTGGGTGAGGAACAGCTGCAAACTGAACAGGGTACAGACCTTATATAGGATTTCTTGGGAGGGGGGAGGAGAGGTGGGCAGAGTTTTACAGGTGATTTGGGATTGGTGGATTTTTGTGGTCTGATTCTGGAGCAAGCTCAGGGATTGGTGGCATTTTGTGCTCGGGGATTGGTGGTAGTTCCAACTCAGGGACCTCAGGGATTGGTGGGATTCTGTGCTCAGGATTGATGGGATTCTGCAGCCTGACTCTGGGGCAAGCTCAGGGACTGGTGTGATTTTTAAACCCTGCTTCTGGGGTCAAGTCAGGGTCAGGGTATTTTTCCTTAGCCCTTTTAACCCTACAGGAATGAGATGGGGGTGGGGAGGGAAGACTGAAAAGAGAAGAGAAATAAAGGGAGGAGAGGTGGAGAGAGAAAAGGGAAAAGAGAGAAGGGGGAGAGAATGAAAGAGGGAGGGAGAGAAAAGACAGAGGAAAAAGAAAAGGAGATGGGGGAGATGGGAGAGAGAAGAGATAGAGAGGAATCAGAGAAAAAGAGAGAGAAAAAAAGAGCTAGAGTAAGGATAGAGAGAGCAGAGGGAGCTCCTTCTCAGGGAATGCATCGTACATGGATGGTTGCGCCAACTGTCTTCAGAATGGCCCGAAGGTCACCCTACAAAAAACACTCCTGAAAGTGAGTGGACAGCCTGCCCAGGACCTGGACTCTTTCCAGCCCTTAGGATCCCTTTGTTCCTTGAGCACTGACATCAGCGCTGACCAAAAGTCACGCAAACGCTGAACTATGACTGCATTGAACCAAAGTCCCTGAACAGAAATTGAAATTGCTGGACACTCACTGTAGTGTAGCATGAATGTCAATGATGGGGGGTGGGGCGAGGCAGGCAAGACCATCTGGCAGTGTGTGTGAGGCCTGGCCTGTCATTCTGTCTCTGTCATTAGCTTTCTGTGACGCCCCCCCAACCCCCAAGTAAGTCACCTGACTTCTGGAAACTCTTAAGTCCCCTTTAACCAGAAGAAGAAGAGGTTCAATTAGAGCCATGGCTTTTAGACTGTTTTAAATTGCTCAGCTTTGTCTTGATTTGGAATCACTTATACTGCACAGGGCCGTGGAATCGTACAGAGCCTTGGAGTTGTGTGCGCATTTAACATTCAGCAATATCAACAATATCAACTGTGCATGAGCTGCCAAGAGAGCAGCCTTGGAGGGGGGCAATATGGAAAAGAGGAGGGAGGGAAGGAAGGGAGGGAGGGAGGGAGGCATGAAGGAAGGGAGGGAGAGAGGGAGAGAGAGAAGAGAGAGGGAAGGATGGAAGGAGGGAGGGAGGGAGAAAGGAAGGAAGGAAAGGAAGGAAGGAAGGAAGGAAGGAAGGAAGGAAGGAAGGAAGGAAGGAAGAAGGAAGGAAGGTAAAGAGGGAGAAAGGGAAGGTAGAAAAGGAAAGGAGGGAGAATTAATTAAGTACTGGGGAAAGAAGCCTTGTGGGAAGGTGGTCCCATCACTCTTAGCATCTAGATGCTCCTGGCAATAAAGCCTCTATCTGGAAGGCATGTGACCTCAGGACTTTCAGGCTTTTAAACCAGGTCCTTCATCTAGAGCAATGGTTTCTCTGCTGCCCTTTCAGATGCTGGGACACTGAGGTGCACTGTGTCTGCCTGGGCCTGGGCACCCTCAGAAACAGGTTTTCATGATCTGCTTTATCTCTAGGGTATTTTAGCCCACGAGCTAACCTTAGAACTTTGCACTTTGAACCAAGGCATAACCATGCTGTAACACCCCTGTGCTATGGAACTCAGACCAGGGAGCCCAAGCCCTGCCATATTGATGTCCTTTAACCCCAACAGGGTCCCCCTGAAACATGTTCATACATTTCTGTGTCCTGTGGAATACAGTGGGAGACCTATGAACTGACCTGTATTTTAACTCCTCTGTTTTCACTATAACTTTACATTCTTTGTTTTTCACCGTGCATATTTATGGGATGTGGTGTGATACTTGGTAACACAATCTATAAGGAAGAGATAGGGTGACCAGAATATCCATACTCCAAATATTTCAAATCCTTCTCGTTCTCTGATTTGAAATCCAACCGTTAACTAAATCTGTTGAGGGTGAGACCTCAAAAACTCTCGTCTTAATTGCTTCCTTACACAGGTAACCCCACTTCTTGGCTGAGGCGCGCCAACCAACCCACGCTGGCCTTCCTCAAAAGTCGATCATCATTAAGGCAAACTATTGAAAATAGCTCCATGTGGACCAAGTCACACCCAGCTTCCTGCTCCAACTGAAGCAGCTGGCCCTCTGCCCGACACTGTAGGCATTCAATCCACATTGGTTTAATTGATTGAACAGATTCAATTTCCTAGCAGGACACTCTGAAACATTCCAGGGATGTAATTTTCCTTCTGGGAAACAAGAAGCCAAACGTTAATTGAGCCTGGAGCTACCTTCTCATGTCTGGCTGGTAAATATACGTGTAGACACTCAGTTTCTGCCTCTGATTAGAACATTAATTCTCAACTGACAGCAATTTGGCCACTGAGCAAGAAGATGCAATGTCTAGAGTCACACTTGGGTGTCACCATGAGTAGGGGCTGCTGGCCTCTCTCATGGCTAGTGGCCAGAGGCACCATGTGACACCCAGTGACATAGAGCAGTGAGGGTTTTTTTTTGTTTTTTTTTTTTTTTTTTTTTTTTGATCCAAAGGTTAATAATGACGAAATTGAAAACCCCACACTTAAGTGTAAACATTTGTAAACAGCTGGAGGCTGCTGTTTAAGTCACTCTGGGACAGGGTTCCCAACATTCCCACTGAGAAAGTTTCTAGGCACAGATCAAGAACAGGGGCCTTAGACAGTGTCCATTGATTGAGGTGAAGATACCAAAGGGAACATGGGACTGAGACAGGAGGAAACTGCACAGGGATGCCCTGGATTACAGAACAGTGGTTCTTACCTTTATGTGTTTCAGTGTGGTGAGTTCTGGCAGGTAGGCAGAGGAAGGAAGGAGCCGGCCAATGACAAGAAGAGCAGCCTGGAGAGTGAGAGGAGACACTCTGGTCGGCAGTTCCTCTGCCCCAACCCATCTGATGGGGGAATCTAACGATTCTATGACTTTTCAATTGCTTTGTGCCAAATATCCACACATGATATGAAAAGTCCACGTTTGTTGTTGTATTATTATTCATGGTTATCATTGCATCTAGTTGTGAAAGTCACTGTGACAATTCCCCCCCACACACACACATTTATTGTTCTTTTATTGTTTCCAGCCCCCTGACCATCTTACCCTGCTCCCCCATTCACATCCCCTCCCCTTTCCTTAATAGTCCCTCTTTGATCTTTATTATTTATTTATTATTTATTTGATCTTTTTATTCGAGTTTCTACAGCTGAGAGAAAACATGCAGTAATTCTCCTTGCCTGTCTTACTTATTCCGTCCTATCTACCATGCAAATAACACAGTTTTTCCTTCCTCAGGGCTCAATGCTCCATGTCTGTGCACCTGTTACCTCCTTGTTGCTATGACAGACTGTCTCACAAAAGAAACCGAAAGAAGGAATCGCGTTGCCCATAGTCCATCATGGCAGAGAAGAAAGAGTGGTTTGAGTGGCTTGTGTGATCTGTGGCAATCAGAGCTTGCAGCAAACTTTCCATGAGAAGCCAGGAAGCATGTGCAGAGGGTTGGTCCCATGCAGGTTCCCTGGCTGTCAGTCCAGACTCTGTGAGTGCCTATGAGCCCAGGTTAGTTGTTTCTGTGGGTTCCCTTGTGATGTTCTTGACCCCTCTGGCTTGTGTAACCGTTCCTCCCTCTCTTCCCCCAGCTCAGCCTAATGCCAGGCTTCTTCCTCAACAAGATATGCTATGCTTTGTCAAACAGCCATGGGAGGCCTGCCATTTTCTGAATAGAAACAGAGGAGGAGTGGATTGGAGTGGGGGAGGTAGGAGGAGGGAACAGAAAGATGGGAGGAAGGGGAAACAGTAGTTGGGGATGTAAAACAAATGAATACATTTAATTTTTTTTAAAAAAAGAAGGAAGCAGAGCATTCAGGCTGGGAGCAGAGCTGCACAACAAACCTCAGATTTCTGCCTTGTGACTCACCTTCACCCTCCATCTCTAGCCCCAAAGGTTCTACAACCAGAACCCACACTGCCGGCTGGAGACCAAGCAGGCAGACACAGGAGTCAGTGGGGCTAGGGCACACTCAAACCACAACAACAGTACCGTGTGTATTTGTGCTTTCTTCATTTCCAGTTGTCTCCGTGGATGGCAGGCCCCCAAGCCCAGAGTCTCACGAGGCTGAACTCATGGGGCTGACTGGGCTCTGGGTCCTTTTGAAAGCACAGGGTAGGAAGGAGGTCCTTGCTCATTTTCTCAAGCTCCTATCAGAGTCCCTCACCTCCTTGCTGCAGACATGGCTGTGGTGGTGCCACAGAAGAGCCACCTACCTGTATGAGAGCATGGCCTTGCGGCTCTCACTTCCTGGGACCCCTGAATAGGTCAGGACCAGCCAGATAATCCCCTTTTGATTACCTTACAGACCATGCTCAGAGTTTTCAATTATGTCTGCACAACCCTCCACTTTTGTGTTATAAGATAATGTGGTCACGAGGGCAACATCTCTCCACACTAGCCATAGCTCATGAGACACAGATGAGTCACGAATGCCACTCACACTGAAATGACAGAGGGCACACACAGGCCAGTTCACACCAGATGGTTCACGGGGCCACCTGCTTCTGTCACAATTATTTGGAAGACTCAAAACATTTGGCCTCATTGGTGGAGAAAAAAAATCAAGTTCTTATTACAGTGTAAATCTCTCTTACAAAAATCTTTAAAAACACCAGAAGGGACAATAATTTTCAGGCAAGACAGTGAGACATATGAACTTGAAGAATATTGATTAAAATGTTTTTTTAAAATCTAATAAATAAAAATTTATATCTGAATCCAAGCTGTAATTTCTAGGAACTCAAGGATGCATAAAAGTTTTAACCATGAACATGTAGGAAAATCAAGCAATTAAAATGACCAACAGCCAGGTATAATGGATGACATATGCTGGTAATCCCAGAATGTAGGAGTTTTAAGGAGGAGGATTGCTCCAAATTCATGAAGAGCTTGTGCCCAGAGAATAAGACTCTGTCTCAAAGAAAGAAACAAACAACAACAACAAAAAGGAGAAAAGAAATAAAAACACTATCGGGAATTTAACTGTTAACATGGCTAAACTATACACAATTAAAAAAATAAACTATAGTCTAAACAACTGATGGGGGTCTTGGAAAATTAGAACTTAAATTGTAGATGTGTTGAGCTTCTAAAATATAAGCTACATGTATGAGTGAAAATATTAGCTTAAAAATAAATTATAACCTCAAAGTATACATTTCATAATCCCAAGTTACTGACTCAATGACCCAACAGGAGAAACTCCCTAAAACCAAAAACACAGCAAAAGCATGAAAATGTGTTCTGAAGAGGAATATGCAGAACCAAAACCACTTGGGGACAGAGTCTGGCAGTCTGTACCTGACTGGAGCTTGCTCATTAGAAAGCACAGAGACAAAGTATTAGAAGAAACATCAGAGACTTTCCTCTAAATTTTTTGAGATGCACCATGGAGCATTACTCACTTGGGAAGAAGAATAAAGTTTTATCATCTGGAAAGTGGATGTGATTGGACATGAGCTTGCACAAAGAGCAAAACAGTTTCCTCTGCCTTTCTGCTCCTTGCAAGCCAGCAAGTCCTGGATGCTGCTGCCCACCTTCATGAGTATACATTTTCCTTAGTCAGTCTACTAACTCATCTGTAGTGGGTAGCCATTCCAGCTTGGATCTGGAAGCTCCAACCCCCATTGAGACTCTGGCAACTGTCACGCCTACGAGGCGGGGTGAGGGGAGGTGCTGGAAACCTGAGAGCTGGATGGGCAAGCGCTCGCTCTGGGCGCGCTCTCTGCGCCTGGATCCTGGATGGTGGAGATTGATTGTGCAGAGCTCCAGAGAACACCGCTGGATTGCGATACGCCTTCCCCAGACCCCAGCGACCTATCCATTCCTTCATTTGTAAGTCATCCACTAAATAAATCTTCCTTTTAACTACGTGGAGTGGCCTTTATAATTTTCCCCAATACTCATCCTCCAAGAAACAGCTTCCCAGAAGCACCCAGTGGTCTATCATCTCTGGGGCCACCCCTTAGTTATATAGTTGTGTCATTGTCCTAGTTAGCTTTGACTGTCAACTTGACACAGCCTAGAGTCATGGGAGATTAGAGTTTTAGTTGAGGGATTGATCAGATTGAATTGGCTTGTGGGCATGTCTTGGGTGGAGGTGCTACCTCGATGGCCAGTTGATGTTGGAGGACCCAGCCCACCATGGGTAGCACCATTTCTTAGGCTTATGTCATTGGCTACATAAGAAAACTAGCTCAGCATGAACCTGTAAGTGAGCCTAAAAGCAATAGTCCTTGTGGTTTTTACTTGAGCTCCTGTGCTGAATTCCCTCAATTCTGGGCTATAATCTGGAAGTATACCCAAAAAAAACCCTCCCTTAAGTTGCTCTTGGCCATTTGTGTTTATTACAGCAACACAAAGAATCTGTAACATTTACATTGATGGGAAAAGTTAATCACTACCTTATAGAACAAAGGAAGAAAAAAAGAACCAAGAAGGAACACATGTGACCTCCAATTATGTTGGTAAAACTCCCTCCTAAACTAGCCAAAACAATATGTCCAAATTAGTCAACAAAGTAAGACATTGAATAGATAGGCATTTATCATTTCCTATACTCTTCTGTAATCTTGCACATTCTCATGAGTGAAAGTTGGGAGCCACAGGTTTCTCATTTGGCTGATTTTGCTATGTTCATTTATCTCAAATACATATTTTTTTTTCAGCATGAAAGCTCTAGGAAACCTTCCCTCTGGCTCTTTAATGAACATCTAACAAGCCTCTCACCCATTGCCTTACTTCTAAACAGTAACAGAATGATCCTACCGCCTTCTCCTTTTTCTTTGCATTTCCAAGCTTTCTAAAGTAAAATCTACCTTTATTCCTGGTGTGAGCAGCCTCACTCTTGCTTAGCCAGCACTTTCCCAGAGTTAGAAATAATAAGCACTGATAATGAGCCCTTCCTCAGCTGCTGAATCAATGGTGATTTCTTACACTAACAACTTGGCCCAGCTTAGATTTCACGGAGTCACTGCAATAAGCCCAGAGGCAGCTTTGGCAAAAGGCTGTAAGACCTGTATCCTTTTTTGACAAGAGCCCAGATCCTTCCAGGAAGTGATGGTTCAGAATTACCTTGATTCCTTAACTGCAAATTTTAAGGCTTGTATCAGTTACTTTTTGTTGCTGGGACAGAACACCATGAGCAAAGACAACTTACAGAAGAAAGGGTCCACGTTGGCTTGATGTTCCGGACTGAGAAGAGTCCATCACGGTGGGGAGGCATGACAACGGGTGGCTGGAGCAGGAAGCTGAGAGCTCACATCTCCAAGCACTAACATGAATTAGAGAGAGAACAGGACGTGAGATGAAGCTAAGAGCCCTCAAAGCGTCACTGATGCACTTCCTTCATCAAGGCTCCACCTCCTAAAGGTCCCCAAACCTTCCCAAACAGCACCACCTGGTGGTGGTCAAGTGTTCAAACACCTGAGCCTGTGGGTGATGCTTCATTCAAGTCACCACAGGAGTTATGCCTTTTTGGTTCTTCCTACAGTCATTCCTGAGAAAGGGAAAGAAAAAGAAAGAAAAGAGAGAGAGAGGAGAGAGAGAGAGAGAGAGAGAGAGAGAGAGAGAGAGAGAGAGAGAGAAAGGAAGGAAGGAAGGAAGGAAGGATGAAAAAAGGAAGGAAAGAAAGAGCGCCTACTGTGTGTTTATGTGTGCATGTGCGCGCGTGCGTCTCTGTGTGTGTGTGTGTCTCACATTTGATGCTCTTGGGGGAAGTACTCATTTAAGAGGCTCCACATAGCTGCAGAGTCAGGTATCTGAAATCTGGGGGGTAGCTTTAGTTGCAGTGGACTTGTCACCCAAGGAAGGTGGATACAGTTTTCTGAGAAGCCTGGGCACATCTGTGATCAACGGCTCCCACCGAGAAGGCAAAAATTCCATTTGTGGGTCACTTACAGCTAATGCCCTCAAAACCCCCAAACACCTGGATTTCAACCCCAGTCAAGCAAAGGAAAAGGAAACGGGACCAGAGGAAAGAGGAAGGACACTTTAGCCCAGAGAAACCCCTCAAATACCCACTTTGACTAAAAGCTTCACACACATTTCTTCAGACCCCACATTTCTTTTTTTCTTTTTTTCTTTCTTTCTTTTTTTTTTTTTTTTTTTTTGGTTTTTCGAGACAGGGTTTCTCTGTGTAGCTTTGTGCCTTTCCTGGGACTCACTTGGTAGTCCAGGCTGGCCTCAAACTCACAGAGATCCACCTGGCTCTGCCTCCTGAGTGCTGGGGTTAAAGGCGTGCGCCGCCGCCGCCGCCACCACCACCCGGCCAGACCCCACATTTCTTGACATGTGAACAGAATCCCAAACGGGACTTTCATTAATCAAGAGAAGCCCAGGCATCTATGACATGCCAAAAGGCACTGCAGTAAAATCAGAATATTCTTTCAGCTTTCAGTTACCTGGCATTTATTACGTCTCTTGGTTAAGCAAAAACCCAATGGAGCATCACTGTATACCCTCCCAAATTCCCAAAGCGTGTGCATCTGCCCAAATGAGGTGCTGTCTTTCAGGAATGTGTTCTCCTGAAACTCATTAATCAAATTCAGTGATCTTTCCTGGTCCCCTACTCAGTCCAAATGTATTAATTACATGGCCTCACAAACTTCATCAAAGGTTCGTTATCTTACAGTAATTTGGTCTTAAGTCAACCGCAGTTAAGAGGATCATGAATATGTCACACCGTAGTTTCTTTGGTCCCAATTACATATTTCCTCCAGCTCTCCTGAAATTCGCTTCATGGAAACATCATCTTGTCAACAATGAATTGATTATGAAATTATCTTGTCTGGCTAAGCAAGTATAAGCCAGATTTGTGCATAAGAAAATATTAAGCTGTGTTTAAGAGTAATCATGTCAGGGCTAGAGAGATGGCTCAGCGGTTAAGAGCTGGCACTGCTCTTGCAGAGGACCCGAGTTCAGTTCCCAGCACTCATACTGGGCAGCTCACAGTTGCTTATAACTCCAGCTCCAGGGGATCCATCACCTTCTTCTGGCCTCCATGAGTACTGCACTCACATTCACACACACACACACACACACACACACCAAAAAAAAAAAAAAAGAGCAAACAGTAGAGCCAGGCATGGTGGCACATATCTTTAATCCCATCACTTACGAGCCAGAGGCAGTCATATCTCTAAGTTTGAGGGCAGTCTGGTCTACAAAGCAAGTTCCAGGACATCCAGGACTACACAGAGAAACCCTGTCTCAATAGGAATAGTAATAACAGTAACTTATTGTTGTTATTTAATTATTTATTATCATATAACAATAAATCTTTTAAAATATAATTGTATCTTCTATTTTGCAGCAGCAGTTCATGTCCAATGTGCGGATACAATCTGCTACCACTGTCCTTCCTCTGAGTTTCTAGAAAGGGAAGTTGGATTCATGCAGGATGAAGGCACAATTCTGTCAAATTTGCCTAATGAGCCGCGCACAGAAAGAGAACTGGAAAACCTCATTTCAAGAAAAGGAAACACCAGTGTGTGCCCAGGGATTGACAATGAGGGTCAGATAACAATGAAATCTGGTCATCGACTTGGAGGATAAAAGCCACCCATTGACCTGGAATGATAATATAATAGGGGACGTCTGAGGCAAGTCAATTCCTGACAGCCTGCACTAAGGAGGGACTCAGGGGTGAAATGATGGTTATCGTGAGAAAATGATCATTGACATCTTTACTGTGTCCCTCCCCCAGCCACCAGGAAGAGCCCAAAATATCACCCAGCAGAGTTTCAATATCCAAACAAATATGGATTTGCAACGTCAACTCTGAACCGTGGGAAGCCAATTCCTTTGAAAGTTACTTTATCCCAGGCTGGACAGATGTTGGTTCCACAGTTAGAGAGCTGCATGGATGCTGCAGAGGGTGTGAGTTCCCTTTCCAGCACCTCGTAGGTTGGCTCAAGACTGTCTGTCATGCAAGCTTCTGGTAGCACCATGCCTTTGATCCCAGCGTTCATTCAAGAGACAGAGGAAGGAGGATCTCTGTGAGTTCTAGGCTAGCCTGGTCTATATATAGTGAATTCCAGGCCAGCCAGGGCTACCCAGGAGACCCAGGAGAAAAGAGAAAGAGGGCACACAGAAAAAGGTGGATGTTCTCTGATTTGAAGAAGAATCCACATGAGCACTCTTTGCCTGGGTCGGCGAGCTTTGGGTAGTCCTCACTTAAAAACACGCCATCTATCTGCCTGTCAATTACTGTGTGCTGGGCTGTTCTCACATGTGCGGAGACAAAGGCAGCAAATGAGATGAGCCTCCTGCTTTCCCAGGGCTTATTTCTAGAGGAAGGAGACAGCCAGGAAGCAAACAAAAAATAAAGGCAATATCAGAGAAGGCTTCAAAGCTCTATCCTCAATAGTTCCCATTTACCAGCATCTGAGAGGGTAGAATGGTTGTATGGAGCCAAATGCTCATTCCATCCAGCCCATTCTAGACAACTTTGATGCTTTCCTTCCCATCCATTCATTTGATCCCCCTAGGCAAGAACCCCTAGGCCTCCTTCTCTTTGCAATACTCCAGCCAGGATTGTGAAAGGACACTCATGTTCCGGCAGCCACCAGAATTAGGACAAGGGTCAGAGCCCCATGGCTGACCTAAATGGGTACACGCCAAGAAACAAATCGCGCTTTTGAAAGCTCCACTGAGGCCCTTCATAGAAGATGGCTGTCACCGAGATATGCAGAAAAGGAGATATTGCAAGGAGCAGTGGTGTAGGCAGAAGCAATTTAAATAGTGATCATGGAGGAAATGACATTTGAGAGCTCAGCAATAGAAGACAAGGATCAACATCCTGAAATAGAAAGACAGCATGAGTGTAGACCCAGGTGGTAACGGATTGGCTATGTCCATGTCCATGTCTTACATACATGTACATATATACGTGCTCACATGTGTCTATCACATGCATGCACACATTCACATTCACAAAAAAGCCACTTCACCAGAGCCTGCCATGACCCAGCCTCAGACCTTTCAGAGATCTGACTGTACTCATCCCCAAATACCTGGTGGGGCTGGGGTTGGGGGTCAGGTCAGAGCTCCAAATGCAAATTGGTTAGTTTTACTCATGGGATAGTTTGAGTGGGTACATACTCTTAAGCCCCGCCCCCCAACACACCCATAAGTCTCACACTTCTAAGGCTGACCCAGAGCCAAGCCACTTTCTTGGATCTTTAGTATCTGCATGGGAATAGATGTCTTTTGAGGAGACCTCAGCCCAGGGTGGAACCTGGTCTGAGCAATCAGAACCCAGGCAACTAACTCTTCTTGCCATGGCTTCTGAATCTTCACAGTGCAGAATGAGCCTGACTGGGTCTGAGACGTGGGAACAGACCAAGACCTATCAGTTACAATTCAGTGTATATAATAATATGTATAATCTATGCATTGTTATCTATTGATCGATCAATATATAGATGATAGTAGATGATAGATAGATAGATAGATAGATAGATAGATAGATAGATAGATAGATAGATAGATAGATAGATAGATAGATAGATAGATGACAGAGTCTCACTAAGTAGCCCTGGCTAGCCTGAAGCCCAATCTGCTATGTAGGCTCTGTAGACCAGGCTGGCCTTGAACTCACAGAAATCTGCCTGCCTCTGCCTCCCAAGTGTTGTGCTTAAAGGCATGCACCACTATGCCAGACCAATATGCATTATCTTCTTCATGGGACAGATAAATGAATCCCAACACGAATTAATGCCCTCATCCTAAAACAACCCTTCCAGCTGAGCTGACTTTCAGTGGGGATGATGGCAGCTGTGCACTGCACTGTGGGCTAATTGGATGCCTTTAAATGACTCTAGCACATTCTGCTGGCTTTTATTTTTTTTTTTAATTCTAGTACCTAGAAGTTGTTGTGCATAAGCAGAACAATTTCTAAACAATAATGCTTAATGGCAAAACACTAGACCTTCAACTCTTAACATCCCCATCTAAATTAAACCATCTTTTATTGTTCTTCTAATTATTCTAATTGTTATTGTTCTTTGAATCATTCTAATAGTTATCCCAATTACTCTCCAGCCTTGTGACCAGAACAACTCATTAGATGCAGGAGAATTTGTTGTCTCTTAGCATATCGTTAGTGTAAGATACACTGGACCATGAAAAGTTCAACGAGTGTAAAAGGAGGCCAGCAAGAGACCTTCTGATAATAAAACCTTGAAATTGGGCTTTTTGTTCAGAACACAACATCCTGAAAATATCTGAGGGTTTGTAAATGTGTTTCAAGATGTACATTTATAATAGCAATATAATTATCCCACTTTCAACATGCATGCATTTGTGTGCCAGAGCACGTATTAGCAGGTGTGTATGTTTGCACATATATGTGGAGACCAGAGGAAAACCTTGTTTTTAGATAAGGCCTCTCACCGTCCTGGTGCTCTCCATGTAGGCTAGGCTGCCTTGATTTCTGACTGTCAGGTTTTGTGGGTATAAAAGTTTCATGTAACTACTTCCATGTTGAATGATGACATCCAAGGCCACCTTAACCTGTGATCCTGGGCCATGGTCACTCATATTGACTCAAAATAGTTTCTTTTCCCCTTGAAATGAGAGCCATGTTTTATTGGTGGAGGGAATGAAAATTGAAAATATTCAGATACTTATGTAAATTTAACCATGATCTAGTCAGACACTTGGGAAACAAAAAAGCTAATTCTGAGTTTTAATTACCTTGAAGGCTAAGCCTCTGTGAGCCTGTTCTTTCTCTAATTCTGAGGGGGGAAAAAAGCGAGCAGTCTTCTAATTAGAATACTTTTTGTGACAAAAGCCCGGCTTCTCATTTATTAGCCTGCCCAAGGACCTTCACAAAGTCACTTAATGCTCTTCATAACTCCCGTAACAGAAACAAATAGACATGGGCACAGGGAATAGGCTTCTCCTCTGTTACCACCTTCCGGGTGTTGCTTCTGAGCTGGAATAATTACATTCACTTATTTTATGGAAGTTTTTAATGATCCTGCCGTGTGTGTGTGTGTGTGTGTGTGTGTGTGTGTGTGTGTGTGTGTGTGTGTGTGTGTTTACATTCAGCAATTTGACGTTTGTAAACTTCAGCAGGCCCTACATTCCATGAAGTGAATTAAGGGGAGGCATTTACCTCTTCTCTCACTGCCCTGCCTCCCTGAGCCACAGATGGAGTACATCATTCAGAGACTGAAATTGGAAAAATCCTGGAGAATTACAAAATTAGTCATAGAGGACTCCATCCCTCCATGGCTCAGCCTCCTGGTCCGAGGGGCCATGCCTCCTTCTTTCCTTTGGGGAAAAAAAAAGTTTCTCACACCAGATGCCTTACAGACTCTCTAGTCCAGTGGTTCTCGACATTCTTAATGCTGCAACTGTTTAATATAGTTCCCGGTGTTGTGGTGACCCCCAATCATAATATTATCTTCATTGCTACTTCCTAACTGTAATTTTGCTACTGTTATGAGCCAAAATGTACATCTGTGTTTTCTGATGGTCTTGGGGGGCCCCTATGAAAAGGTTGCCTGAACCCCCCTCAAGGGATCATGACCCACAGGTTGAGAACTGCTGTCATAGGGTGTGCTGGTCAAGAACACCCACCCACCATCTATCCACCTCAGCCAAAGCTCTAGCCTGACAGCTCATAATTGCAGACAGGGAAGTTCCAGGTGTGTTGAGTCCCAAGGCTTTTTAGTGTGGGCGAGGACTCTTTAAGAGAAACAATTTAGCCGGGGCAGTGGTGGCGCACGCCTTTAATCCCAGCACTTGGGAGGCAGAGCCAGGCAGATCTCTGTGAGTTCGAGGCCAGCCTGGGCTACCAAGTGAGCTCCAGGAAAGGCGCAAAGCTACACAGAGAAACCCTGTCTCGAAAAACCAAAAAAAAAAAAAAAAAAAAAGAGAGAGAGAGAGAAACAATTTAAACATCACTAAGGTAAGTAAACCACCTCAAGTTCCTTAAGGTAGGCCTAGTCACTTTCTGTTACACCGTCATATTCAACGTACCGGAAGGAAAGTGTGAAATCATCTACCTTACCCAGCCCCTGGTCCTGCAGTGTATGATCTAGCCTTCCTTGTCCTATATTGTCCACAATGAGCAGATGCCACCTAGGGCTGTGTGGATTAGCAGATTTATTCCCAGTCCCCAGCCCTGCCTCTGGGGTATAGTTTCTCTCCACTCACTTTGAATTTGTGCTTCTGGCTAATGCCAAGTCAACAAAGAGCTGATGGTCTCCATCCCACACAGCTCTGGGATTCCAGACAGGTGGCCATAGCCACACCTGGCTTTCTATACAGGTGCTGAGAATCTGAACTCATCTCTCACCTACTGAACTCTTTCTCCCCAGTCCTGACCTTAAACTTCAGATCCCTCTGTCTCCAATTCCCAAACCGTAGAAACGCAGGCATGCACCACCACACTCAGTGAAGAGTGTTCTAACTGGTGTTTCCCGAAGACCAAGTAGATTCTCTCCTGTCTTCATCTAAGAGGCGATTCCTCAGGGCAGAGCTGGGTGGCTATATAAGTTAGTGTCCCTTCCCTCCCGCTGAGACCAGACGGTTGGGGCTCTAGCTTCCTCGACATTTACATTACAAACAAATAGCTCCAGGTGCTGGAGACAGATAGCACAGGTTTCTAAAACTCACTGGAGGCTTTGGGACACATTTGCATCTCAAAGGGGCAAAGAAGTCATTTACAATGACAGGCTTTCTGAAGGAAATTCTCTAAGAAAAGAGAGGTCAGGGTCTGGGGGCAGGAAGAAGAGAGTCTGAAGTCTAATTAATCTAAAAGTGAATCCAGGCCTCCTAGGTGAAGAAAAAGGAGGAGATGAAGATGTGAAATGGAAGCAGTGGAGGACAGGAAAATTATGGACACAAGAAGGAAAAGAGGTCTTACGTTGGAATCTGGTCAAAGCAGAGGATCAAGAATTTTAATACCATGAATGGTCTCTGCTTAAGGCTTTCTCCCTCTCCCAGGTGTAAACTTGCAGTTTGTGGAGGAGTCTTGCCAGAAATCCCCTTTATAGAGAAGGGTATGTTCTAACATACCATGAAACACCAGCGGCTCCTGGTTCACTCTGGCATGCTGTGATGTTCGGGTTCCCGGGGCCAGGAAATGAGGAGAGTCTTGGAAGGCCAGGAAAGAGACATGGAAGGGGTCATAGGTGATGGTGTGTGTCATTTACCAGCACACAGGTCATGGTCTTTAAGCACAGAAGCCACCTGCAACGGTCAGGCAGAAGTCCCTCCTCCTCTGAACTCAAGTACGTATTCATTCACAATCACACAAACGTGCCATTTTGCCAGGGATGGTTCTGTAACTGATCATTCATCACTTACTCCAGGCTCCCGGGATGTCAGACGTCAGATCATCAGGGCCATGGTGCAGAGAGATGGACTGATGCAGCCAGCTGTGCCAGCCTCGGGCTGCTGAGATCAAAGAGCTGGGGCATTGGGGCATTGGGGCATTGGAACTGTAACTCCAGTGGATGAAGTATTCTCTCTCTCTCTCTCTCTCTCTC